AGCGCCCCTGGTCACAGCAAACATGACCTATCGCTTTGAGGGTGCCGCTTACAGGGAGGAGGCAAAGAGGCGGTTAACCAGGTATGGCCCGGATCCCTCGTTAGAGACGATCCTGGCAACCATGCGCAGGTTGGATGAGGAGAATCGAGCTGCATAGGAATTTGAGCTCCGATTGCGGAGATTGGGGCTGTGGCCAATTGGTCTCTCTCCCCAGTGGCAGACAACATCCCAGAGAGAGGAGATTGTCGATCCCTCGTCCCTGCAACAACCATCATCACTGGGAGTTGAGACAGTAGCTCTGACTCCCCAGCGGCAGTGTGTTGTCAAGGAAGAAGAGACAACCAGTCTCTCTCCCCAGCGGCAGACAGCATCCCAGGGAGAGGAGATTGTCGGTCCCTCGTCCCTCCAGCAACCATCATCACTGGGAGTTGAGACAGTCGGTCTAACTCCCCAGTGGCAGTGTGTTGACAAGGTAGAAGAGACAACCGGTCTCTCTCCCCAGCGGCAGTGTAAGTTACAGGGAGCCAAAGGTGTCGTCCTTCCTCCACAGCGGCAGTGTGAATTACAGGGAGCCGAAGGTGTCGCCCTTCCTCCCCTGCGGCAGTGTGAATTCCAGGGGGCCGAAGGTGTCGTCCATCCCCCCCAGCAGCAGTGTGTCCTACCAGGAGCAGAGGCAGTTGGTCTCTCTCTCCAGCAGCAGGACAATGTTATGGGAGTGGAGACAGGCGGTCTCCTTCTCCAGCGGCAGACTGTGTTTCAGGGAGAGGAGCACAGCACCCTATCTCCCCAGCGGCAGCTTACCCTACCTAGGGGAGACACCAATCTCCCAGATGGCGCAGAGGGGACCATGGTCTCTGTGCCCGACCTACAGGGAGGCTGGACAGCCTGTCCAGATCCCCAACTACTCTCACAGGGACAACAGGAGGAGGGGGTAAGTACGAATTCCCCTCCCCAGCTAACTCCTAACTTGGCCCCAGGGTTAACAGAGGAGATGTTAACCCCCCCCTGACTCCCATGTTCCCCTGGCTACTGAGCCGGACTATGTTCCCAGCTCCCCAGCAGAAGAGCTGGCAGCTGGGCAGAGTGCAGTTGGCCTCTGCCCTCCCTTTGATCCTTGTACAGAGCTTGACATTCTGCCGGCTATCCCAGCGCAAGAGCTGACATCAGGGCAGAATAGAGACTGTTCCTCCTACATAGGGTCACTTGGCAGATATGGATTGACTGTTCCCCCTACATACACACTATTGGATCTCGCAAAACTTACCAAGGATCTAAATCATGTTCCCGTATCGTACATGAAAAACCTACTCATACAAAATCTCTTCCCAAACATCATTTCGTTCAAAGTGGAGAGAATGTTAAAAAAAAATATTTTTGTTCTGAGTGTGAGAAATGCTTTTCAGCCGCTTCTAATCTTAAGCATCATTTGAGAAGCCATACAGGAGAGAAACCTTATTTTTGTTCTGATTGTGGGAAATATTTCTCTCAAAGAGGCCACTTTTATATTCAATCTATAACAGTGAAAAAGGTTTTTTGGTTTTAAATGCAAGCTACTGTGACACCAGTGAGTGAGTGGTGGCACTGGGCACAGTATCCACTGTGAGCCTGACACAGACGCTGGCAGACAACTAACTGCTATTCAATCTATAACAGTGAAAAAAGTTTTGGGGTTTTAAATGCAAGCTATTGTGACACCAGTGAGTGAGTGGTGGCACTGGGTACAGTATCCACTGTGAGCCTGACACAGAAGCTGGCAGGCAGGCAGGCAACTGCAATTACATTACACAGAAAAAAAAAAAAAGCAGACTGATGTTCTAGCCCTAAAAAAGGGCTTTTTGGGGTGCTGTCCTTACAGCAGAGATCAGATGAGTCCTTCAGGACTGTAGTGGACACTGTATACCCTAACCTAGCTATGCATTTCCCCATCTAATCAACAGCAGCTACACTTTCCCTCCTCTCACTAAGCATGCAGCTTGAGAATGAATCTAAAATGGATGCTGTCCAGTAGGTGGGAGGGTCTGCTAGTGAGGGTGTGCTGCTAATTGGCTGGAATGTGTCTGCTGACTGTGAGGTACAGGGTCAAAGTTTACTCAATGATGACAAATAGGGGGCGGATCGAACCGCGCATGTGTTCGCCGTCCACGGCGGACGCGAACACGCTATGTTCGCCAGGAACTGTTCGCTGGCGAACCGTTCGGTGCATCACTATTTGTAAACCCCCCACTGCACTTAAACAAAGGCAGAAGGGTGGATTTGTGTTTTGCTATCTGTGGGCATTTGTTGTATTGAGACTGTGAAGTTTTTTAAAAGACAAGAGTTTGTTTGAATAGGTTAATGTAATTAAGTTTCTCAAATGGTTCAATCTCTTTGGAGCCAGTTTCTGTTTTTTTTTTTGGTTTTTTTTAATTAATCCCATTGTTAAAAGCTTATTGTTTTTTTACTTAGTCTGCTGGTCTATTTTAGTTAAAGACTCAATGGTTTAGTGGGAGCTCTGTTTTAAAATGTAATTTCTAGGTACTAAGTATTTTTCTGCAGAATTACTAGAGTACTTCAAGAATGACATTGACAAACATGATGGACCATATGAGTTTCCAAAACCAGCAGGCCCCGATTGTGGAAAATATGAAGGTTTCATGGAAGTTTTGATGCAGATTGTTACTAACAAAAAGTGCCATATTAAGAAAATGAAAAGCTTGGTGGCACAAGCAGTTGTTGCTGCAATAGGGGGTTTGGCAAGCATGGTACTCGAATTGCAGCAAGATAATTTAGTAACCACTAATAAAATGGAAGATGCTTTTGATGAAAGAGATTGTTTTAAAATAGCTGGCCTAAGAACAAACACAATGATAGAGGGTTTGGAGAAGGAATCAAATGAAATAGAACAACAGAGAGATGCATATAGTGCTAAGATCACTGAACTCCAAAACCTAGTTATGGAATATAAAATGAAAACTAAAGAAAATAAACAAATGGGATAAGAAGATTCCTAAAGTATGCCCACGACAGTCTTATTTTATATCTGAAAGTAAAGAACCAGTGCTGGAAACAAAACACAAGGGAAATGTGCCAATTGTAAATTGTGTCCCACAAGCCCCAATAATAATAACTGAACATTTTAATGCAAGAGAAATGCCTACTAGCTTCTCTAGACATACAAGGACTATGTCAATCACAGACAAAGAAAATTTCCATAAATGGTGGGGAAGTATGCCAACTAACAACTTTAACACCTTTACACATTAGTTTATGAGGAGAGCAAATAGAGCTAAAAAAGGAGGTATTAACTTAGAAGAATGGACAGAACTGTTAGAATATGCTATGGGTCCTTTGGCTAGCAGACTATTGGGATTTAATAACAATGTGTCTGATCAGGCAGGAAGAACTGCTGCAACTAATTTCTGTCTACTCAGCATAGAGAAAGAAATAGCAAAAATTACTATGAGGCCAACAGATGGTCCTAGAGATGTAGCCCAACAGTTATTGTTCTGGTCTACATTGCGCCAGCCACAGCACCCTATGAGGTTGGGTTCACCAGAACACATAACTAAAGTAATGGGATCCCTTCCCTGGGAGTGTCAAGAATTTGTGAGGCTTTTTGATCCAACACCAGCAGACTTAGAAATGGTACTAACTAGAGCTGAACATTGGTGGGTCAAGCATCCTTCCTCAGAACCCGCCTTCTCTGTTTCAGCCATAAGAACATTCAAGGTAGAGATATAGATAGTAAATGGAGAAACCAGAGGTGGGATGTACCCAAGAACAAGAGAACTGGAGACCAAAACATGACTTTGACAAAAGATGGAGAGATCCACAGAGGGACCATAGGAATAGGGGCAGTGCTAAAGAAAGCAATGTAATGGGAGATAACTGGAGAAATATGTGGGAGGAGCCTAAAGTAATCAATAATAATTGGAATAATAATAATAACTGGGAGAGGCTAAAAAGGAGAGATAATAACTGGGAAAATCACAGTTGGCGAGAAAAACAGAGAAACAACAGGAACAGTTATTGGGAGAATAATTGGAGAAGGAACCATAGATGGGATGAGAATCAGACCAATAGACGGAATTGGGATGATTTGAGGAATAAGGAAGGGAATAGATAATACTGGAATCTGAAGAGACAGACAGAGATTGGAGGCAGATGTGAAAGCGGAACAGATGATAGAGGAGGGAAAGACTGACCAATTGAGGGTCCCCAGCAATTAATAACTCCCATAATTTTTTGTTGTCCTCTACATCTGTATGTATTTGTTTTTCTTTTGTTTCTATATTTTATCTGTCTCACTATTATCTCATAACACTCTAGTTTAAAGAGGACCTTAGTATATATAGTTATATATATTTTTCATATTAAGGATAAGCCCCTAAATTCATTCATTACAGTCAGGTGGACCAAATTCCAAATAATTGTTACTCTCATTAGTTTAGCACACCTGCACTGCCAGCTATGTTTTATTTATTTTTGATGCTGGATTAATAATTATACATTCATAGACTATGTGAATTGTTGCCAATGTGAGGCTTATATTTGATGACACAGGAGAGATGTGATAGTGTAACTTTGTTAGTTTACAACAGTAAAAACATTTTTTTTTCATTTGGTTACCAACAAACATTGTTTTGTTTTTTTCACTATATAATTTTTATTGAGTTGATGCATAGGTAATGCAGCAAGTGGGGTACAGAAAATCAACGGGAGAGGAACATGTACATACAGTTTGTTAAGTACTCATATACAGGTAAACACATTTTGTTTATTTTTTTGTTTGTTTCTGAACAGACTGTCAATCAGGGCATACATCTTGCATATTGGTTAACATCTAATCACGGTAAGATTGTATTTTTTAACATATGGTGTTGATGCTACAGGGCATTAACGTGTTTCAGTTCAAAGTGTGGCTGCTCATTTGGTGTTATATCGTGGTCTATTTCTATTCAGCAAGTCTACCGGGTTAAGTAGTAGTGAAGGTCAACTCTAAGCTTGTGCATTGACATCCTCTTTTACCTGAGTTAGCCCATAAGAGCTGAGTGACTACCGTTCTCGCGTGCATCAGTCCACGGTCTATTCAGCTAAATATGCATCGTGATTGTATCTTTGCTAAGCCTATTATACTTTTGTACTGACTTGTATCACAGATGGTATCTTAGTTGAGTGAATACCTAGAATAATACATCTATACCTAGACACAAGAAAAATGAACATTTGGAAAGAAAGAACATAGGTTGGGGGTGGGGGGTACCAGCATGTTGAGGAGGTCCTCTTGGGTGCTCTCTAGAGTCCTCTAGGGTCTGGTTTGTCTGTGTCTTAAACATATTGGTCTCTGACCGCTAGCCATCTGTGCCATCTCATATTATATGTAGACCCAATTCCCCTCAATCGGCCTGCCATTTGTTCATATGTGCTTGATGAGTCGAGTCTAGTAACAACCTTGGACAGTGTGGGGGCCATTGTTTGTTTTCATCTGTATACAATTGCAGTTTTCACCGCTATTAAACTGTGAATAATTATATAGACTACATCCTTGGGGAGCGATGTGGGAAATATGTGTAGTAGGAAACATTCTGATTGTATGGGTATGGTAACCCTGAGGGCATTCTGGAAATTTTTTGCCAAGTCCTGCCAGAGTTTGGTAATGCTTGGACATGTCCAAAATATGTGGTGCAGAGTACCTACCTGCTACAGACAATGCCAACACATGGAGGACGATCCCGGTTATATGTGTGCTATCTTTGTGGGCACCATACCAGGGAACTGTTTAATGCTCTTGCTGTTATATATTACGACGCCTTGTTTTATCCAAGTGTCTAATTGCAGATCTGTTGTGAAGGGCAGTTATGGCCTGTAATGGAGCTGGTCTACCATCCTCTGAAACGTAGATGGGGCATTGTTCATCCCAAACAGCATGATCCCCTGAAATTGGTACAAGCCGAATGGGGTAACGAATGCTGCCTTAGGGATTGCATCCTTGGCTTGAGGAATCTGCCCGTACACCTTACAGAGAGATATAGTGCTCCTTCACGCCCATGTGGTATAGGATCCAACGCTATCTCCTCTCTCAGTGTGTTTCGGCATGTCCCACACTGGAAGCTGTAATCACGCCCCTTTTCATGACGTAGCGCATATGACGCGTTATCAATACCGGTTTAAAATTTCGGGAGTGTGGTCTTAACGCAAAAGACACTCCCTTTTAAAATGGGAGCTTTTTGCTTTGTTCCTTGCCCAATTGTGCTATTTTGTTCTCCTTGCGACTATTGTTATTTCTGTGTACTGACTTGACTTGGCTATGAACTTTTTTTTGGTTCCCTGACTCGACTTGTATTTTGACCTCCTGATTTCTGGTTTCCTGACCCGGCTATTATCGTATCGTTCTCCTGATCTCTGGTATCCTGACTTCTAGCTATTCCTTGACTACTCTTTTCTACCTATGTTAAATCCGACCATTCTAAGGTTTGGTAATACATGTTTGGGTTTTCTGTGGGTTAACATATTGCGTGTTGTGTTATCACACAACCGTAATATTACAATAGGGCTATGGACCCTGCAGATCTGGGTTATGATGTACGGTTCAAGGAATGGACAACCACATGGACCAATTTGCCCTTTTTCTGCACACTTTACTAGCCCATACGGCACATCTGCAAACCGAGGCACAAAACGTCATACCATAAAGTGGGTTTTATGATTAACCTACTTGTGGATAGGGCATTAGTATGGGCAAACACTTTATTGGAAAATAACAAACCCTTAGTCTTCAACTATGCTGAGCTTGTAAGACTCTTCGTAGGATGAAACGAGGGTCTCCCTCTCTTGTGGAGTATGCTCTGGAGTTTCACACTTATGCTGATAAAGTGCCATGGAACAACCAGGCATTCATAGACATTTTTATAAACGGTCTCTCTGATACTTTGTTGGATGAGGTGGCAGCTAGGGACTTGCCAAAAGATTTAGAGGAGCTCATAACTTATCTGTCTCATATAGACGAGCATATCAGACATAGACAGAACACCAGAGATTGACCAAGAAGAAACCCTGTATGCTTGGCCTTAACATTTCCAGCACCACTGTAGCCATTCCTAAACCCATTGCAGCTAGGTTTTAATTGGTTATCCAAAGCTGAAAAATCATACAGAAGAAAGGAGGGTCTTTGTTTATATTGCGGAAAGAAAGGGCATTTACGCTTGACATGTTCCAATAGGCCTAAAAACTCCTAAGCCCTCTTGGAGGACAGGCTTTTATGTATATTACATATGTCCTCCTTTGTACCTAAAATGAACACTGAAGAGGACACAGTAACGTTCCTTGGATTTGCAAACAAATATATATATATATATATATATATATATATATATATATATATATATATATAGATATGATAAAATCACATTTTATTGAAGAACATAAGTATAAAAAAAAAAAAAAAAAGCACACCACATATATTAAGGAGAGCTAATAAGCTCAGGAAACCTGATGTGTAGAAATGTAGGAAGCTGCTAAATAACAATAGTAAGAAATCAAAGAGGTGGGGACCTATATAGTATGACCCTAACCAACGAGCAGGTTGGGAGAAGAAAATGAAAGTCTGTATCTCATACAGTGGAACTAGTCTATAGAGCAGGGGTAGGCAACCTTTTAGCAGCACTGGGCCGATATAGGATTGTGATGTCCCGTAGCGTGCCGGTCCTATTTTTTTAAATTGAGGTGTGTATGCTGCCGTATTCTGCTTGTGTTATTTTTACTGTAATTGCTTTGTATCATTGTATTTGTGCGTATATGAGCTATTATATTGTATATTTTCATTAATAGTTTGTGGTATCGTGTATGATACATATGAATGTGGGCTGTGTACAAGGGCTGCTTGTGGAATTGTATGTGTGTGTGTGTGGATATGTCACATTGTGTGTTTGGTAGTGTGTGTATGTGAGGGGCTGTCTGGGGTATTGCATGTGAGAGGCTGCATGTGGGGTTGTGTGCATGTATGTGAATTGTTAGTGGTATTATGTTTGTGGGGATTGTATGTATGTATGTGTGTGGGCTGTTCGTATTATTTGTATGAGGGGAGGGTTATTCTGCAGATCTGTGTATATCTAGCAGTGTGGGTGGCTTCCCTGGGTTCCAGTGGGGACTAGGCTGGCCAGGTACAGGTCAAAGACAGGAGCTGCAACAGCAGCTGCGGGCTGCTCTACTCCAGTATGGATTCCCATTCACAAGGGCTGGAATGAAGTGATCTGAGATCACTTCCTCTATGTGCAGCAATGCATAAATTGAGGATTGTCCTTCACCACCTCTTCGTATTAGCAGATATCTGAAGTTTTACTGGGACTTCTGATAGGACAGAGTCTGTTTGGCTCTAGCAGCCTTGAGTGCCGTGCAAAGGCACCTCGAGTGCCGTGCATGGCACTAGTGCCGTAGGTTGCCTACCCCTGCTATAGAGCTAGATACTGATGAACAGACAGAATAAACAATGTAGCCTCTTGTTGCCAGCATATGAGATCTATCAAGTTGCACACAGATGCACAATAAAAAAATGCTTGAACCATTATTATTGAGACACTGTCTTGCTGTTGCTGTGCAGAAAGTCTAGATAAGGCTAACAAAGAGACAATAGCATACACTAGACTAACTATACATAGGACTTCAAGGTCGCTATCTAGAAAATTTTAACATAGGCTTACAAAGGTATGATCCCCACTTGGTCAGTCTTATAGTGTTGCCATCAGAGAATTTTAACAACTAGACAAAGTAACCAATTGTGCCAAAACTAACTCATTGGTTGCTACCTGAATAGATATAGGCAGTAGAAGACTGTAAACTAAATAGCCACGTAGCATAGTCCCTTAATTGATTACTTTATGCTCAATATGCCATCAATAACCCCCATCAAAGAGAATTGTCCCTCATCGAATGCTATAAAAACCCTCACACCATAACAAAAGAGTGCCGTGAAATAAAAATAATAATGAAGCCGACACGCATTTCGGTGCTACTAAAGCACCTTTGTCTGAGGCACTAACAAGGTACATTAACCTGTGTGGCTATTTAAGTGTGGAATAAAGTACCATGGACCAATCGGGGGCGGGGGTGTGTGCCGTTTTGCGCGCCATAATTAAGATCAGAAAAAAACGCTGCAAACTTACACACCTACTTCCGCGTGCAGAACATGCCCATAAGCGTGTCAGTGGGCAGGCCTGAGCACTCACAGGGGATTATGACTCAAAAGGGATACGTCACAGTGTCCAAGCCTCCCAGTAAGCCGGTCCATTGGAGTATTCAGTAAGAGAAGGCCCGCCCACTGGCCCGCCTTGTCTTTGAATGGAATTTTACGGCTGAGTATTACTATACAACATTGTGACTTCTTAATCTGGTTGATGGTTAGGGAAAGTGCTGTTTAGATCCCCTAATAGTGGCGATATAATAGAATAACCTAAAATAAAATCGTCAAAATACTGAAAATAAATGACAGGTGTTATTCACTCCGTTTATATCTAGATGGACAGAATCTCCACCATAAGAACATTTGTCCAAGTAGGTATAATGACATTATGTTAGGGAGGCATGCTAGAGAGATACCTCCCCACTACCTGTAAGCCTGAACTCTTCTTATTGATTATGTACCATTCTATCCATCTCTTGAGACACATAAGGGCTATTGCGCCTAGGACTTTAGTCCATATTAAGATCTTAAGAATGAGAGGTATTTTTTGAGACGAAGAAGCAGCCTCCCCTACACCCACATCCCTGATATATTCTTTTGGATTTATTGCAGTAAAAACTACCCGTGTATAACAGCAATCCCTTTAATACATAAAATGGCACGGGAGATACTGTACAATCCTGGATTAATCCACTATGGTCCAGGATGTGATCCATCTGATCTGGTAAGATTCTGTTTAAGACATCACACAGTTATTCCAACTCTATTATCTATTAATTGGTATTAGAGATGTCGCGAACTGTCCGCGAACTTCTCGCGAACGGTTCGCCACGACATGGATGCTGTCCAGGAAGTAGGAGGGTCTGGGAGGGAGGGTCTGCCGGAGATTGGCAGGGATGTGTCAGCTGACCGGAGTTTGCCGCGAACGGTTCGTGGCGAACCGTTCGCGAGAAGTTCGCGGACGGTTCGTGACATCTCTAATACCAATTAATAGATAATAGAGTTGGAATAACTGTGTGATGTCTTAAACAGAATCTTACCGGATCAGATGGATCA